CATCAAATTATATGTACTCTAAAACATGACACTAAAAGTCACACAATGTAAACTCTCACAAGCAAATTCATAGTCACAACAACTTTAAAGGGGACAAAATTTATTCAATTTACATGTACTTACCTAGATCCTGCCTTGGCTTGATCCAAAGTTAAACAGCTTTCTCAAACATGTCAAACAAAAACTCCCGCCATGTGGCCGCCATGCATAACAAAGAAAAATGACTGAGCCAACATGGCATCCAGAAGATCGCGCCTGATTGGTCAGGAAGTAAAACAATGCACGATTGGCTCCTTTACATCATGTGACTGAGTGTGCAGGAGCGCCTCTAGCGATATTGGTATCAACTGCAGCAAATTTCATTGGGGTCAATCCCTGTTCGGTGTAACCGGCCTGTGGGGTTTAAACTATGACGTTTTTTATTTTTATTTTCATTCGGCAAAAAAAGGAAGCGGCGAATCCGTTAACCAAGGAAATAAATTGGTGTGGCCTTATGTCACATATTTCTGGAAAGATTTTACAAGGTGGTGGAAAAACAAAACACAGCAGGACCTAACCTTAACTGAGAAGCAAATTATATATTGTATACCAGATACTTAACACACAGATCCTATTCTACTGCAATGTATCGTAATAGCTAAATATGTCATATACAGCTGCTTCATTAAAAATATAAAACCTGACATGAAATACTTCCAATGTAAACTAAAACATCACATGACAATAATGAATGCTACCCAGTAATTTGTTTAGATGACAAAGTTATATGATTTCTTATATACACACACCTTTCTTTTGTTATGAATGATTATCTGATGTTATTTTATGTTCCTTCACTTTATCACATTATTCAGGTATGGAACCTTACTACATGAAAATCACTATCCTTTATCTACTTCGAGAGTTACAATAACAGTATCATGTACTAAACAAATGATTGACAACTGGTATATACATCAGATCACGCCTCTGTCCTCGCACTCTGTCAAGTCGTGAAAGCAGACGCATTCCCTCACAGTTGGCATTTTTCTGCAGTTGCGGCATCTGCACCAGATGAAGTTTTTCAGGCGCCACCCTTCAATTTCAACATCGACCCCGTTGTGGATGAGTCGGCGGGCCGACAGAAACGCCATTGCTGACCCTCGCAGTGTCCGCGGCCGATCTCACACGTCTTGACTGAAAGTTATACGGAGTGATATCATGTAGGTCAAACCCCTCGAACTCCTTAAAACCCTGAAACTCATTGACCCTCTCAGATTCGTAGGAATCCATCGCTAAGATCGCGTGATATCGTGTAGAAAGCCTACGTAACAAGGGTCAAAGACCTCACCATGTCAGACCTCTCCACGGCACGAGTTTGAAATTCTGTAAAAACGAGTATACCTATTACCACAGTGGGCAGAAGTAAGCCTACCTTGGTCCTTGCTGACGTCTAAATTAAAGGTATTCTGTATCCTAACCTTATGATTAATGCAGGCAGAAATTAGTTTTGGCCCCCTTTAATTCTCTCTTTCCTTCAATTTGTATGGTTGCATACATTTCTTTGGTTGTACTCGCCGTTATATACTCATCCTCGGACCGTTGGCTCGCATATGTGACGGTCATCAGTTAGTCATTTTGTGCTTCATCTTTCATCGTCAACACTGTAGGCTTATTCTTGACTTGCGCCTGGTTTCTTCCACATTTTCGTTTCTCTTTTCCACTCCGACAATCTGTATGGAAATAAATCACCTTGTCCATCAGCTTCCCAATGAGTCCAAAGCAGTCACTCTTCCCATAACCGGTAGGCAACAAGGCAAATGCATGATGCCCATGGGCAAGGGTACTTAGGGTTCTCATCTGCTCTCTCTTGAGCTCATATGGTAGATCAAACGTGGAATATATTTCATCCATGATTAGAGAAGAAAAGAAAGTCTTAAGAATAATATGGAACCTTTAAATACAGAACTCTGCTCGCAGTTCTGAGTATTTTCACTCACAAAAAGTCCTTCGACGCCGGCACTTTCCAGTGTCCGATTTCTTCCAAGTAAGGGTCATGAGCTTCGTTCTCCATTTAGGAATTTTGTCTCTTTAGTCTCGACCGTGCCTGTTATCTGCGAAGAAGGTAACTATAAGAAGTCAGATCAATATCACCTAATCTACAGTACTTCTCTAGCATAGCGACAGGACACGTCTCTGTGTTTGTTTTCGCTGCAGGTAAGACGTTACCTTCTCTCCACTGATCTGTTTTGCTATATTCAATAAAGATTGACATGTAAGAATCAATGAAGGTCATGTCTTGACAATTAATCATGAAGAAACTCAGGGTAAGGCTTACCTTCATCAAAGCCCCAAGAACATGCTAAGTCTAACATAACAATGTACAAATTTATCCACTTAGCCTTTCGTTCCATCAACAGTTATAAACTACATGCTGTAATATTCTTTGGTTAAATATTCTATCCAATAGAACTGTTCTTGAACGTCATCCTTTTCCATCTCCAGGAAGCTGTTTCGTCTTCCAAAAGTCAGTTAACACCCTTCTCTCACTCATAATATAATATCAAATGATAATATCGGTAAATAACGATTTCAGAGGGCAGGAAATTGCATTAAACCAAAAACTATAATTCAGATTGTCGGTAATGTAAATATATATATATATATATATAT